ACTGCTACCAGTACCCTGTACTGCCATGAATGTCATGAAGCACCATGGGACAGGTGTGAACCATTAGCAGCTCCTCTAGGGGCAGCCATTGGCCCACACAAGGAAGGACACACACACACACACACACACACACACACACACACACACACACACACACCCAGGAAGCCAGGACATGAGAGTCTCAGACATTGAGAGTCTCAGGGCTGGGGTGTGACTCGGGGATATTAAGAAAGCTTAAAACAAGGGTTACACACTCAATGGGAGGGAGAAGGGAGGGGGAGAGAAACCGGGAAGAAGAGACAGGAAGGGGGGGTGAGGGGGGAGGGAGGGAGGGAGAGAGGAAGGGAGAGACAGGGAGGGGAGGGAAGGAGAGAGAGGGGAAATAAAACAGCCCGAGGGGCACAGACGAGGGCTGAGAGGGTGATGAAAGTGAGTGTATCAGAGTTCCCTAGAAGCTCTGCTTAAACTGGGCCCGCGGTGCTGGCCCCAGAGACCCCCAGTTTTGTAGGTCTGGGGTGGGACCCAAGAATTAGCGCTTCTGAGGTCTTGGGAACAGCTCAGTGTAGACTGAGAACTTAGCAAGCAAGAGGCTAGCAGTCCCTGAACCGATGGAAAAGGGGGAAAGGCTTCTAATTCCTATGGGGTGCTGATGCTGTGGGACAGGAGGGGCCGCAATGGCGAGCTGCCTGGGTTTGTCACTGTCCTTAGCCCTCGGGTTCCTGAAACTGGACGGGGAGCTTGATTTCAGTACATGAGGTCAGGCTCCAGCTCCCAGCTTCAAGGCTGTCCCCAAGGTTTCTAGAAGGGTCCAGTCCCTGTGGAAGCACTCAAAGCAGTTCAGAAATATTTTTGGAAAAGAATCCGTGGCGGACGAGGAAAATACGACAGCATTTGGACAGACTCGGTGGAAAGCAACGAGAAACATCTGACTTAAATTGCTTTGCAAATTACACCATTTTAAAAATTAGAGGGTGGGGGGGACCCTGGGCCAAAATGTATTTTTAAAGATTTATGGCCTCTAGAGTGTTAGCTCAACAGCTGAAGAGGCTGTGGAAGAGCCACCCAGCGTGGCTCCTGCTCAGGCTCCTGGGAAGTCTCCCGCCCATCCTGAAGCGGGCCTTTCCCAGCCTGACTGCAGTACAGCTTGCCTGACTGGCCTGCCAGGCCCTGCTCTGCCTCCAAAAAGCTGTGCGCCTGTGTGTGTGTGTGTGTGTGTGTGTGTGTGTGTGTGTGTGTGTGTCTGTCTGCCTGTCTCTGTCTCTGTGTGTGTTTCCGAGCATGCGCGCACCGCACACAGGCCACAGAAGTCAAAGGTCAATTTCAGGCGCCATTCCCAGGTGCTTTCCATGTGTTTTTCTGTGATACGTGGTCTCTCATTCACCTGGAACTCACTGAAGAGACTAGGCTGGCTGACTGTCAAGCTCCAGGGACCCCCGTCCCCATCTCTAGCTATGGGATTACAAGGATGCACCATGACTCCAGGCTTTTTCACGTGGGTTCTGGGGATGGAAGCCATATTTTCAGGCTTGTGCATTTACTGAGCCATTTCCCTAGCCCTGAGAGGTGCTTCTGACCCACACTTCAGGAACTCCCGCCCTCAGCCTGCAGACTCCTTTAGAAGTTGAACAAAAGAGGACACTGGATCCAGGGACTCCACCAATGTGCTATGGCACACCCCGTACATCAACTCTCTGTAAGAAATTAAGAGCTGCCAGTTCTGGGGCAGAGGAGGCCACTGAGGCATGATGACACACAGGAGGCCTTTCTAAGGCTGACACCCAGATATAGTGGGGACAAAATGACAGCTCCAGTCATACCCTCACAGTCTAAAGTAATGATGTAAAAGCAGGCAGAGTTCAGCTCTCTGTATCTGAGGGCTCCACACCTTGCAGATATAATGTACTGAAGATATTGAGAATATTTGGAGAACACACATTTTTTTCCTGATAATGACATTGAACCCAGAACCTTCCATGTGTGACACCCAGAATCCAAGATGCATCCAGCATCTCCATATAGTCTCTGAAAGGTTGCAGGACCAGGTCCTCCGGTTGTAACTGCCCATGTCTTGAGGCAGAACCCATCCACCCCAACCCTCCTCAGATGCGTATAAGGCAGGATATCCTAGACCCATGTACACCATCACTTCCTGCCAGATAGCTGCATACCCTGATGCAGGCCATGTGAACAAGGTCTCACGCTTTGAAGGTATAAGCAACTGTCTGGACAGCTCTGGGAATCAGCTCTGCCACAATCCTGCCCTATCTGTCTCACACCAGGATGTCTAGAAAGAACTCAGCAAAAGGGACCTTCAGGGACTGGTGCTGGGCTCTCTGGATACACAGTATGCACCTGCAGGCCTGTCCCCTGAAGCCCAGCATGCATGTGCAGCCACAGACACACACCTGCAGCCCCCACACACCATGAGGCAGACACCTGCAGCCCAGCATGCACCTGCAGCTCAGCATGCTCCTGTAGTAAGTCCTCAACAGTGACAACTGGGTCTGATGCCACAGGGGCTCTCTCCTCACATGTGGAGGCAGAGCAGGGCCCTGCAGTCTAGGACATACCTGTGGCCTCACATATACCTGCAGTTCATCTTGCACCTGAAGCCCTAAACACGTACACAGCCACATCTTCAGCCCAGCATAGACCTACAGCACCGGCCTGTGCCCTGTGTATTCTCACCACTGATACACACAGTAGCATATGGTTGCAAGCTGAGAGCCAAACTCCTCAGAGACTAAGCCAATGTGGCTGACTCCCGGCAGCCACCCTTTGTGGTCCCACTCCTTATCATACATTTCCCCCTATACCATTTGTGTTGAGGAGATCCTGACCACCCTCCTGCTGGGCCTCACACTGAAACTTGCACAAGAGGAACCTTCCTTGGTCCCTCTGCTCTGTCATAGAGAATTCAAGCAAGAGTGGGGTCTTGAAATTTCGAGTTCTAATTACATTTATTTATTGAGGGGGACACATGCATGCAATAGCGCGTGTGTGGGGGTCAGATGGCAACCTGCAGGAGCTGGTTCTCACCTCCCACCGTGTGGGTTCCTGGGGGTGGGATTTGGGTTGGCAGGGTTGGCAGCAAGCACCTTTACCCGAAGAGGCATCTTGCCAACCCGGTCTGGAAATCTTGAGGACTGCAGCTAACATCTGTGGGACCTCCTCATAACATAGAAAGCCAAGTCCCAGCAATGGCCTTTGGGTTTAACCACTGGGCTTCCTGGCCCCTCCCCCTTAACCCGCCTTCAGTAGAGACAGATCCCACTGTGTCCCCCATTCCCATACAGGCACAGCCACTCTTCCCAGATTCCAGGACACCCTTCCTTCCAGATAAGCTGCTTGGGGAGCAGGTATAGCATGCTTCAGTGGAGGCCACCCCAGCCTCTGCATGGCTCCTTAGTGCATGCACTGGACTGAGACATCCACTGGCCAACAAGCCACCTGCTTATGTGAACCAAGTGCACATAGGACCTCCTCAGCCAAGCTCCCCTAGGAAGGGCACTGAGGGGGCACAGAGCTGGCACAGTGTGGGGCTGTTGCTCCTCTGGAGTGGCCCTGCTCCGAGCTTTGCCCCCTGTCCCAGTAGAAAACCCCTCAAACATCTGCTGTCACTGTCCTCAACAGTGACAACTGGGTCTGATGCCACAGGGGCTCTCTCCTCACAATCATGTTCTAATTGCTGCCGAGGTCTGCTCTCTGTTGGTATGACGGGGTAGGGAATGGCTCTGCTTGTTTGGGAGAGGAAGGCCAAGTCAGGGCGGATCCCTCGGGACAAGTGGGAGGGAAGCTAGCTCCTGGGAACTCTCCCAGCCTTCAAGAAGGGGGCGGGGAGAAAATCTAAGGGACTGTCACTGCTGGGGCAAGCCCTAACCCAGGAGAGGAAAGCAGCATGGCCAGGACTTCCGTCCACTGCATCATGTCCCATTCTTCCCTTCCATGATGGGTGACCCATCGGGCTGTGGCTCCTCCTTCCTGACCTAAGAGTCAAGCCTCCACACCAGGCCCACACACTCAGACCCTCTCCCCTGCTCAAGGTTGACCTCACCTCTCCCTCTCTGGCTCGATAATTTTCTTCCAACTTAGAATTGTGGGGAGGAGAAAAGAAAATGAATACCGTGACAACAACCTATGAGGTCCTACACTCTCTCCTTAGAGGCAGAACTCAAGGGTAGCTCTGAGCTTCTCTGAGTTCTGGCCCCTCCCACTACACCCAGCACAACCCAGGGACCACAGCTGCAGCATCAGCTCAGAGCTGGAGAGAAACAGACTCAGCCCTGCCCTAGAGCCAGGCCCCTCGGGTGCTTGACCCGGGCAAGAAAGCCTCAGGGCACAACTAAATGGGTTTGAATAAAAAGGGAGAGAAGAAAAATCTCGGCTTCTTCACTCTGAGGCAGAATAGTTGTGTGGCCTCCAGATGGTCAGCCCAGCGACAAGGGGAGGTCTCACCTTCCCGCCAAACTCCCCAACCAGGATGCTGGCACAGTCAGTGGAAACCAGAGAACATCTCTCTTAGGGACAGTGAAATGAGAGACCGCGGCTCGTGGAGTCCCTTCTGTTGTAATTAAGTTGGCCAGAAATCCACCTAAGATAGTAAATTCCATACCTGACCCTCTAATTACAGCCAGCAGGCATTGGCAGACAATTACTTTCTGAAATAGTCCTCAGCGGGCAAGAGTCAAGAAGCTCTCAGGATACATCTCCCGGGTGCCAACTAAACACACCCCAGGGTGGCCAGGCAGCTGCCTAGGATTGACTCTCCTCCCTTCCTCCTCTCCCTGCTCGGGCCCAGCCACCAGAGTCTGAGGCAGTCATCTCTCCAAAGAAAGCTGCAAGTGACCTTCTTGGGGACTGGGATTCCCGGGGCAGGGGCGCTGCCCTCCATAAACCCAGCATGCCTCCCAGATGACAGGGGCCAGCGCACTCATTAAATCCTAATGACCTCATGAAAAACACCCCTGCTGCTCTGCAAGCGTGCAAAACAGAAAGTGTACCTCCTTGGGCAGCTACAGCTGCCGCTGCTGCGGCCACCGCCAGAGGACAAGCCTTTTTCCCTGGATCCAGGAAGCTGCCGTCCTCCAAGAGGCCGCTCTTGGCTTCTTTCTTCTCCACTGCAGGGGCTGGGACAGATGTCTCCATCTCAGCGGCTCATACTCTTGGGTGGTAGACCCTGGAGGAAATGACAAAGACGTTCAGCCACAACATCGCACCCAAACCCAGTCCAGGAAATGCCAATCCGGATTCGCACCACACGGGCCTAGAGCAGCCAAGTTCACACCCAGGATCCTCACACCAGGAGGAAGGACTTAGTTAATTTTTGACATGTTCCTCCCGAGAATTGAGTGGTCTGCTTGCTGAATGGCCACAGGGACAACAGCAGAGCATTTTCTTTTTTCTATTTTTTAACCTGGAAGACGTTCTTAATGATGAGAGCAGCCAGGACCAGAGAACCTCCTGACCTGGAAGCCAGAACAGAGAGCCTGAAGTCTAGGAAGAAACAGAATTACAACCCTCTCTAAGAAAGGCCCCGATCTCCTGCTCTCTCTCCCTCCCTCCTTCATGGTTGATTCGTTTGGATGTCCAGTCAACACTCATCACTAATTGTCATCATCTATGGATGGAACGTGTTCTCATTCTCTCTCCCACTCTGCCTCCCCTCTCTCTATAAGACGGCGGTTCTCAACCTGTGGGGTCTTCACACTTTCGGGGAGGTCAAACAACCCTGTCACAGGGTCACCTAAGAACATCAGAAAACACGGATGTTCACATTACGAATCATAACCGCCAAACTACAGTTATAAAGTAGCAGCGAAATAACTTCGTGGCTGGGGGTCACCACAACACAAGGAACTGTATTGAAGGGTCTCAGCACTAGAGAGGCTGAGAACCACTGCCATAAGGGCTCGAGTAGCCCAGGGTGGCCTAAAGCTCACTATGTATCCAACCATGACCTTGATCTTCCTGCTTCCTCCACGCTGGGATTACAGGTGTGGAGTACCAGGCCCGGCTTAAGCCATCTTTAAAAACCCTTGCTCTGGAGCCAGTGGTCCGGCTCAGCAGGTAAGGCTGCCTTGCTGCACAAGCCTGAAAAGCTGAGTTTGATCGCAGGAACCCGTATGAAGGTGGGAGGAAAGAACCGACTCCATGACGTTCTGACAGTGTGTGCATGCCAGTGCATCCGAGGCACATGCACACAATAACATGCATGCCACTGCATGCAAGCCACATGCATACAATAACACATGCATGCCACTGCATTCGAGCCACACGCACATAATAACAGTAAATAAAAGATTAAAATCTGTTACTGTGGCTTTCTACTGTCAGAACAGTTAGCAGCCACAAGCCGGAACCTCTTATCTTTTTTCACACTGGCCCTTGGCCTGGCCACAAGCACCACCAAATCAAGCCACCTGAACTGCTCTTAGGTCACCCCCCACACACACACACACTCACACTTCCCTCACTAGGGCTGTGATTGCCATTGCCGCACAGGAGCAAGCAGCCAGCAGAGCCTCTCCGGGATACACTTCTACTCTGCCTACAAAACCCCATTCAGATGCCCTCTCCCCCAGGAAGCCCCCTGCTCTGGACAGCCCATGGTCAGAGGCCTACATCAGTCAGGCTATGAGTCTACCTGACACCCCATACAACCATGCTCTCATAGACATGCCCACGGTGCTTGTAGATCCCATCAGGCTATCAGTCAAGGTTAACCAGCAGAGCTGGGAATGGCAGCACACACCCTTAGTCCCAGCCCTCAAGAGGGAGAAGCAGGCAGGTCTCTGTGAATCTGAGGCCAGCCTGGTCTAATAGTGAGTCATAGGACAGCTGGGGCTACACAGAGATACATCATCATCATCATCATCATCATCATCATCATCATCACTATCATCACTGTCATAAGAAGAAGAAGAAAACAGTATGCTCCCTCTCCCTGAGCCTGGAGCTTGATCACATTCCCACATTCTTCTAGTCTCCTGTTGGATTCACTAATATTTTTAATTATTTGTATGCACGTGTGTCTGTGCAGGTGTCCTTAGAGGCCAGAGGCATAAGAAGATGCCTTGGAGCTTACAGGCTGCCTGGTGTGGGTGCTGAGAACTGAACTCAGATCCTCTGGAACAGCAGCAAACATTCTTAAACCACTGAATCCCCTCCAGCTCCTCCTGCCGAGTTCTGGACCACTAAGATTTAAACCTCAAAGCCAGTGGTTCTCAGTCTTCCTAATGCTGTGACCCTTTAATACAGTTCCTCATGTTGTGGTGACTCCCCACCATAAAATCATTTTCATTGCTACTTCATAACTGGAATTTTGCCTATGTTATGCATCGTAATGTAACTGTTTTCTGGTGGTCTTCGGTGACCCCTGTGAAAGAGTCATTCCACCCCCAAAGGGTTGAGAGCCGCTGCTTAAGCAACGGGAGAGACTTGGCTCCCTGTGCGTACCTCATCTTCCCTGCTAGAGGACCAGGTCCTGCTGACGTGGGCCTGGAGGGTAGGGAGGTGGGAGTGGAAAGAGCAGTGAGAAATGAACCTCTTCTGTTCCCTTACTCCCTGGGGTCCTGCTGACGTGGGCCTGGAGGGTAGGGAGGTGGGAGTGGAAAGAGCAGTGAGAAATGAACCTCTTCTCTTCCCTTACTCCCCGGTCTCTGGTGTTCTGTGTTAGGAACACAGAAGACTCAGCAGTGACCACTCAGGCTTCTGTAGGAGATGAGCTGCCTAAGGCCACTTCCCACAGAAGCGGCAGAGCGTGCCCCAGTCTGGTGCTCTGCTGACCTAGAAGCCCTCGGGAGACAGTCACCCCAAGAAAAGGCCCATGAGGGTATGAGCACAGAAGGTCTGGAGCTTCGGCGCTTAGGCTGTGGCGGCAGATTCCGAGCAAAAGGAACAGCTACACACAGAGAAGCTCCTGGGATTCAGGTGTCCCAGGGAAGGGGGTGGGTGATGGAGAGACCAACCCAGGCAGGGCCCCACAGGCCCCTGCCTCTCCCAACAAGTCAACCCTCCCCTCCCCTTACCTCTGCCACAGGAGAGGAAGGCAGGGGACTGAGGCAAGAGTCTTCATAATTCAGAATTAGTGGGATTAGCTCAATTTCTGGGTAAACACCAGGTACCCTGGGTCCCAAGGAGAAACTTTCACTCCCCAGGGACACCCAGTCACCACTGCACCTGTGTCTCCCCAGACACCCCCCCACCCCCTCCACTGCCTCCTGGGAACGGCAGGGAGGGGTCTGTGCTGGGCTTCCCAGGCATGGTGGGGGGCTGGTGGTCTTTGTGGACTGATTCCCACAGCCTGCACAAAAGCTTCTTCACAGGAAGGGCTGAGAGCCACAGGACACCCCAGGGGAGGAGAGCCAACCCCCACTTTCTTTTACAGCTCTGGAAATGCAGACACATTCCACAGGAATCTGCTACACCAAGGGGAGCCTGGGCCTGGGTTGGGAAGGAGCCCCTTTCCATTAGAGATTGCACCCAGGTCACCGGACCTCTGCGGTTTCCACGGGATTTCCCTGTGGTCTCTCATCCATACCTATGACTGGAGAACCCACAAAACGTGCAAAGAAAACATAGTGCGTGTGTTTGTGTGTATTCACATGTGGGGGGGGGGGGTGCATGTGAAGGCCATATGTCACCATTGGGTGTTTTCTTCGATCACTCTGGTGTGTTGTTGATCATTTTGAGGCAGGGTCTCTCACTGAACCTGGTGAGTGAGCCCCAGGGACCCTCTCTCTGGTTTCAGATTACAGAGGTGGGCTGCTGAGCCTAGCGCTTTATAAGATGATGCTGGCAATCCAAACTCAGGTGCTTACCTTTGTGTGGCAAGCAGTTTATCAACTATACCATCTCCCCAGCTCCCCAACTTTTTTAAAAGTTTTGAGTATGGGACTTAGCAGAACATGCCTGTAAACCCAGGCATGGTCCAGGGCCTGGCAGTAAGAGGACCAAGTTTTCATGGCTAGCCTGGGACACACGCAAAGACCCTGCCTCAGAAAAACAGAACAAACAAGGAATCCCTTTAAGGGTTCTGCCCTGCAAGCAAGCACGGGACCTTGAGCAAGGTGCTCATCCGTCACAGTCAGTCTCCAAGTAATTTCTAAGCTACACTTAAAACAAGACTTCAAGAACTAAATATTTTATCAGGTCCAGAAAAAGTGGATCAGTGGGTAAAGGTTTTGCCATGAAGCCTGAGGACCTGAGTTCCATACCCAGGACCCACATGGCCAAAGGAGAGAACAGACGCCTTCGAGGCAATGGTGCCTCCCTTAGGAATGAATGGAGAGATGCCTCACAGTGGTTGTGGACCTGTTGCCAGCCTCCTCCATGTCATGGACTATCGGCTCGTCTCACCTTGGCAGCCCACTTGGAGAGTCATGAGGCCCCGCACCTCCACCCCAGCACTTGTGTGCAGTAAGAAAGCCCGAGGATCACCACGTCACAAGCATGGTGATCCTTTGGCCTTGCAGCTACTGCACTTGATCGTAACCAGGGTCTTTCAAGAGCCATGCTTTCCATTCCATCATTTACAGCATGCTGGTGAACGATAATTACCCCAGGTGCTAAGGGGACCGTGGCACAGGACAGGTTAAGGAGCCTCCCAGGACTGGCATGAGAATGAAGAACGGCCCTGGAGCCTGGGATCCTGGAGACCTCCCACCACCTGGCTGCTTTGAAGTCCCAAATTTGGTGAGTGAGTCACACAGGAGCACTTCCTGGGGTGAAATCAACCTCCAGGAGGGAGGCAGGACCTCACCTCCCAGCCAGCACAGCCACCACAGGCCCTGGCTAACCACATCACTTCTGATCTCACCCAGGCAGCATGCATGCCCAGACAGACTCACATGCATGAAGAACATGGGAATGCATGCACACAGGTAATCACACAACACATGCACTATTTAGGTGCAAAGATGTTTGCTGAGCACAGGCATACAACCATGCATGCATGCATATGTACATACATGCACATGCACTCATAGTTTCCTTTAACACTAGCAGTATAAATGCATATGCCCATCACATATATGTTGTCACAAGGAGTTACATGCACATGTGCTCATACACACACACACACACACACACACACACACACACACACATGTGCAAAGACACAGACAGATCCATACAGGCACAAATACACACAAGAGCTGATGAATACCCACCCTGCCT